GTGATAATCCATAAGGAGACAACCAACTAGGGATTGTTGCCTATAAAGAAATATAGAACTTACACTTTCCTCCTCTGTACACATCGGTTCGGGTTCATAGTGAAAATGAGGAACATCCTAAAAATAATCGAGTTAGGTGGAATTGTTAGAAAAGTCTCCTGAGGAAGAAAACAAGAAAAATGAGTAGATATAGTCATGATCCCTGAAGGAAAGGACACACACATACATCAGCGGTAGGAAAAAGAGGGGGGGGGTCTTGTAAACGATCCCTGGGATTGTATCTTGCTTTTCAGGCCCTTTTACAAGACGTGGTGCTTGACCGTACCCCTTACCCACGATTTCTGATCGCGGGTTCTGCCTTTAATACCCTGGATCATGCTGTTACACCATGCAAAACACTTTGCTGGAGATATCCACTCACATTATATAGATTTCTGTCAATACGAATAGTGTCGGCAATAGTAGTGTACTCGTCATGAAGCTGAGCATGTGGCCTGTAATCGGATGATTTAAACGAATTCTGGACTGTTATGGATTGTCTCCGGGTATAGATCTGAGAAATTTTTCGTTCAAAAAGTGCATGGTGAAAGATCAGAATTGTTGGATGTTCCGTCTAAAATGCTCTTCAAAGAATTCCCGCTATTAAGTGTTACAATCAATAAGTGCTCAATCATGAATAAGTATCCCATGAGTAACTCACCAGTACTGAAAGAGGCGAAAAAAAATTGGGAACACCCTGAACAGAGAGAGACCTTCTTTGGCGGTGGAGCCGCCGCCTTAGACGGGTTTGTCAGACGACGAGCCCAATCAACAGGATTCGACGTGCAACCAATTCCAGCATAGGAAATTGTCCATACGACGCTCCAGGTAACGCTATGTACACACGCAACTCCGCTTGTAAGCCGTTGTCTTGCAGAGTGAAAGTAATCGTGGTTGCAATGGTTGCAATAATCACGCGTCTCTAGCTTCTTTATCTCGCCGTTTCGAGTGACGAAAGTGGTATATTCTCTGCGAATGCGGACAACGATGCCAAATGCACGGATGCATTTCGCAGAACTCTTGATCGCGGGGACTGTCTTCAAGGTATTGTTTGGTCGTTTGGGAGAAAGATTGTACACCAAGAGATTCCTCTAACATGTCACATTGTGTACTGGTTCTCACATGCTCTGTCCAAAGCTATTTTTGACCACGCCCACTTTCTTGGCCACAGTTTATGTATAATTTTCTCAGTACAGCTTCCAACAAGCACTGGTTGTTCTTTTGACGAAATAATACTCACAATGACTCCTTCAGAATTGGTATCGGACGAGTATCAACGTCCGCCATTTCGGTTTCACTTTCAGAAAGGCCATCAACAGAAAGGCGTCGCGGAGACTCCTCTGAAAATATCTCGTCCTCACTAAGGGATAATTTGAGGAATAGATAAATAATTTCACCGTTGCTTCCTGGAACGCCTTCATCCTCGTTGACGAGATTTACAACGATTGAAGGCATGACGGTCGCCTCATCGTCGATTGTTACACGTGGTAGCGATCGCCGGCGCATTGGAGATGAGTTTGAGGTAATTGCAGAAAATGACTGGAACAGACAAAATGAACCCAGGAAAATGTCAATTTAATATCCACATTTTCTTTTTGGAGCTGGTGCTGGTTCTGTGTGTCACTGAAGGATGTTCCTTTTAGTGGTCTCGGAGAGAGTGGGGAAAGTAAGAGGAGCCAGCTTAAGAGTAGGACGACGCTTGAAGCCATATGCTGGCAGATGGAAGATTCGAATAAGAATACATGTGTGAGAACTCATGAATGACATTTGCCTTATCCACTGCGAATGAGAGCTTTACCAGGCGTTCGCTACAGCTTGGCTCCGATGGCAGGGAAAAAGAAAACTGCGGGATTTCTCCATTACGCACGTCGCTGTTCTAATGAACGTTTAAAAAAACTCTCAGTTTGGACAGGGGGGGCTGTGATTGAATAATCTCCGTACTGGCATGCCGTCATGAATAATCCCATTAACAATAACTGTAGAAGAAGGGCAACAGGATTGCATGGCAGGCCAAGGGTTGGATTTTGAAAGGGCTCGAGCAATTCCAAAGGACGGGCAGTGAGACGTAATTGAGGAGAAGTTTTAGTACACGCATTGGATGTGTTTAAGACCACATATACTTTTTCACTAAAGTTTACAAAAGCGGCTTCCTTTTTGAGCAGCTTAATTGTGGTAGAGCCGGTGTAAAAAGCACGAATTCCGGAAACAGTAGTCAGACTGTATTTTTACGAGATACCATGCGTTACTAGGTATAGTATTTAACATTAATTGCACTTAAATTCCATACAACTAAAAGCGCCTACCGTGCTATTGTACGTGAGATCTGGTGGCGTACGTCGACGCTTCTTCTCGTACTTTTCCGGCCTCGTTTCTTTAGATGGAGGAAGTCCTGGTGAATCTGGCGTGGGGTCAGCCGATGAGGCACACTTCAATTGAGTCTTCAACAACTGTTCGAGCCGTGCACACTTGCGCTCATTCATTTTAACGCAATCCATTTCTTATTTCGGGGAAATGAGAGAGTAAAATACTATAAATTAGGTCCTGATCAGTCTATCTAATGTCCCTCCTTTACGACTCATAGTCATAGTCATCTATCTAATGTCCCTCCTTTACGATCATAGTCAAAAGGCTGTAGAAATGCTTCGAGAGGGATTTAGTTCACAGTTGTTTAGCTGTAGATTCTGGGCCGTACTAGGAAGGCCGGTTTGACGCGGTGCCAACCCGTTCTCAAAAAAATGATCCAATGACGCAAACGACATTAAAGGTGGAAACGGGCTGGACCCCGCCTCAATTACTCTCCCCCCGCCACCTCTGATACGCCCCAGGCAGCCGTATGGAACAAGGAATTTATATATGCTGCCGAGTGTGGCATAAATGGTGTTATGGCAATGAGTACCGCATAGCTCGCTGTTGCCGAGGGTCAGAACTCGGATCGGCTCTTGCCCGGCCAACCAGCCTCCGTTGCAGTTAGACCGGTATCATTATTTGTCTGTGGGGATAATATTTAGGGTTGTCCGGGAAAAGTTCTCAAGCGTTTTTTGTGACTATTCTACTACACTTCCACCCATGCTGAATGTGAAACCATGCTGCTTGTTTCTCAGTAGAATAATCCTGTAGGATTTCCTGCGCTATCTGATGGTATAATTGCCGTTTCACCATTGCTTGATAAACCCCTTTTTTCAAGATTTTTTCAAGCATGTGAAAAGAGCACTTCGGACGATTTTTTCTTCGGCTATAAATTGGGGCAATCCGCAATCGAAACAGCTCAACAAATTAACCAGGTGTGGGGGCCCAATAGTGCTAGAGAAAGCACTGTGCGGCAATGGCTCAACAAATTTCGTTCTGGAGATTTCAGCCTTGAAGATGAACCTCATAGCGGTCGACCTAAAGCAATACCCGACGAGGATTTTAGGGAGATTTTGGAGGCTGACCCATCCCAAACAGTTCGAGAGATAGCAGAAGAGCTAGGCCTTGGCAAATCCACTGTTGCAGATGGTCTGGAACGCATTGGGAAGGTGAAAAAACTCGACAATTGGGTGCCCCACAATCGGAGTGACCGGCAGGAATCGGCACGTCTCGAGGTTCCTTCTGCATTGCTTTTGCGCAGCAGAAACGACCTGTTTTTGGCCGAATTGTCACCTGTGATGAAAAATGGGTCATGTATGATAACAGGAGACGTTCCGGACAGTGGTTGGATTTCGACGAACCACCGAGGTAATTTTTAAAGCGACCCTCCACGAAAAAAGATTTGGCACGGCTTTGACGTGCCGTCATCGGGTGGTCATCGGCTGGTGTGATCCACTATAACTTTTTATCACCAGGCCAAACCATCACAGCAGAACCCTACTGTGAAGAAATCGACGAATTGTACCGAAAATTTTGTCAGATGCAGCCAACACTTATCAAAAGAAATAGACAAGGGTAAGCGAGGATTCCTTTGCGGAGTGAGGCAACCCCCACACGTTTCACAAATCACTATCCATAAATTGAACGAATTGGGGGTTGAAGTTCTACCTCAACCGCCATATTCTTCAGACCTTTCGCCAACCGACTATCACCTTTTCTAACATTTTCAGAACTCCCTTGCTGGAAAATACTTCATCAATCAGGACCAGGCAAAAAAGCCTTCGTGGATTTCGTGAATTTTCGACCACCCAGTTTTTTTACTTTGATGGGATTTCTTGACTGCTGTCACATTGCAAAAGTGTGCTT